ATTTAAGTTTTTTTTTTTTTTTTTTTTGCCTTTTTATTGCCTTTATTTGACAGGGCAGCAGCCGAAAATAAACAGGAAAGGGGGCAGAGGAGAGACGGGATGACACGCCAGCCAAAGGGCTCGGCAGGTCGGACTCGAACCCTGGGCCGCTGCAGCAACCGGACGCCTGAGTCCATTTAAGTTTTAATTTCTCTTAGTGCGGATTAGAATACATCTCTAGCCAAATAAAGACATGACAATGATGTTACATAACTTGCTAACATACAATATACTGTATGTATCTTGTGTTTAAAATGCATGGAGAAGTTAGAACTCATCTGGAAGAAAACATGAATGCTTTCAGTCCTATTTAGAAAATAAGGTAGTGTTGTACTTGAGCCTCTTGTGGCGGAAATGAGTATCACAACAACAAACATTTGTTCCTGACAAAAATAAATACATTTCACATGCTAAAACGTCTTTTGACCTGTTTTCACAGATGAAATAAAGGAATTTAGAAAAATTATCCTGGTGTTCAGATTAAAAAAACAACAACTAAGGTATTGTTTTTAAGTCATAAACAAAGGAGAGAAAATAATTTAGATCAGACTTAGAAAATGAATCACACAAATATTTTTTTCTCTCAGGGGGTTCCGTAGGGTTGTCCGTAGTCTGTGTTACTGACTTATAGTCTATAAAAAGAAGTTCATTTGGCGCATGCATAATTTCAAATCAAACTGCACAAGACTTTTACTTTTAGTCAACTTGTCACACTTTTACATAAAAATTCACAAGTTTGCAAACTGGAATTTTTAGAATGCACTTTTCTAACTACATGCGACCATCAGAATGAGTGCAAACCACTGGCTAGAAATAAAAATGATGATGTCAACGTAAGACGGTACAACATTTTTTCCAGACTAAAATATCTCGACTATTTACGTAGCCCTGAGAAGAATGTGGCTATTTCTGGTGATCCATTATCTAAGCCTGATCTAAATGTTTTCTTGTCTGTGTTTATTAGTAAAGAACGGGTGGAAAAAAGTGTTTGTTGTTGTAATACTCATTTGTATTGTGGCGCAGAGGCAGAGCAGGTCGTCCCCTAAGCGGAAGGTTGTTGGTTTGATCCCCGGCTTCGGTGCCACATGTCGAAGTATCCT